GGGGCATCGTGACACTCATACATGGTGCATAAACGCAAATCATGATGAGCGGGTAAGACGACACGAGGCGTGTCGTCGGCAAAAGCTGTACAGTACATCAATCCGTTGCGTGTACTATACCGATCCGATGAGGATCGGTACAAAGCCGGTAAATTCTTCAATGATGTACTGGATGGATTCACCAGATGATCCATCAATCGCAGAAGATCCTTATCTTCTGCGTATGCCTTTCGTACGTCGTCAAGTAAACTTGACGACGGGACACTGACTGACAGTGTCGCAACAGCGGGCTTATCCTCACTGTTTGGTTGTGCGTCCGGCTCGAAATCGGGCCGGCGTGAGAGCGCATTAGCGACGACGTTCAGTCGTCCTGGTTTGTACTCCACGGAGAAGTTATACTCTGCGAAGAAAGACAGCCACCTCTCCATCCTTTGCGAGGGGTGTGGGCTGTTTACGGCCGTGCGTAATGACGCATGGTCCGTATAAACGATGAACGGTCTATCTCCCAATAGATAGACCCGGAACTTAGCCAGTGCATATTTCATGGCAAGGAGTTCCTTGTCATGCACTGGGTAATCGCGCTCAGCTGCTTGCAGCTGACGCGACTGATAACAGATGAAGCGCTCCGCGCCATCTGCGTCGAACTGCATTAACGCACAGCCGATTGCAAAATCGCTGGCGTCACAGACCACATGAAATGGTCTGTCCTGATCTGCAATCGTCAAGATCGGCGACTGCATCAAGCTTTGCTTGATACCTTCAAAGGAACGCTGACACTCAGCGTTCCATGACCACTTGACATTTTCCTTGAGTAAACAAGAAAGATGTACCGTCATCTCGGCGTAGTTGCGCGAGTACTTGTGCAAGTACGCCGCTAGACCAAGGAACTTCCTTAGTCCCTTGACATCGACTGGCACTGGACAGTCGGTGATCGCCTTGATCTTTTCGAGATCAGGGCGTACGCCGTGTTTGCCGACGATGAACCCAAGAAGAGGTATTTCGCTAGCCGCGAATATACACTTCTTGGGGTTGGCATACAGCTTATGCTTGCGCTCAAGTTGGAGAACCTGACGAACGTGAGTTCTGTGAACTTCAACGTCCGTCTTTCCGTCCATAGCCCGTCCATGGACGAACACATCGTCGAAGTAACTCGGTGCGAAATCTCGCACCGGTCTCAACAAATTTGTTACACATCTGTTGAAAGTAGGAGGGGCATTGCTCAGCCCCTGTGGCATCACTAGCCATTACCACAGCATCCCGCTGGGGGTACTCACTGCCGTGAACGGGATGTCCCGTTCACGCATGAGGATCTGATAGAATCCGTCCATCAGATCTATGGACAAAAAGATGGTACTCTTTGACATACCATCTATGATTACGTCCTTCCTCAGTATCGGCGTCTGAGCCGGTACCGTTGCAGCATTCAACTTGTTGAATGCGTGCACTATCCACCACCCTCCTGTGGCCTTTCGCACACAGAAGGTCGGAGAGCTATGAGGGGATGTTGATTCCCTGACATGGCCCGCTGCTAAGCGATCGGCAAAGAACTTGTCGATCGCTATCACTTGTTCACGAGGCAGTGGCCACTGCTTCATGACACAGTATTTCGAGCCCGGTTCGAGCTCGATCTCGTGACGAGTGCCTTTGTCCTTAGGCAACTCGCAAGGTACGGATTCAGGGAACACATCCTTGAATTCGATCAAGTCCTTATACAAAGGATTTGCCTGAAGCGACTTCCAGGATTGAGATTCATATCGCTCAATCCGAGTCTTTTCATCGAGGACACTTTCGTCCATCGATGAGCCGCTGAGAACCCGTTCGTTCTCAGCAAATACTGTTGCCGACCGAATGTCGGTCACATACTCGTCCTCTGTGACGAGTATGCAGATCTGCTTGACTTTGCCACTACGCAGATCACGCAAGAACCGTTTCGGTTCTAGCGTCGGCAGTTGAGTTATCTCCGAAGTTAACTTCGGAGGCGCAACCAGATCAAGCATGTAAGCGCCTACGCTTGATCCATCATTAACCAAGACATTCAGTGTCTCGGTTTCTTTCTGGGAGCTTCGTTCCACAGGTTGCTGAAGGCCTGATCCTTCAGCAAGCGACTCTTGAGGTAGTTCCTTCCTCAAGTACGTGGGGACTTATTCCCTCGACGTCTTCCGACTGTGGCTGTGCAACCACAGTCAGGAACCGATCCTCTACGGTCGACTCTCCAGTCGACCTAAGATGTCCATGTTGCCGTTTGAAGGCAACAGGTTTATTACTTCGAAGATGCTGCCCGCTAGGCATGCATCCATGTCCCGGTCCACTCGACTTATTCGAGTGGTGGACCTCCGGCGAAGCCTGTACTTCTGTACAGTCGCCGGGAGCTTGCTTTACAGTTTAGTGATCAACTACACTGTGATCTTGTGCAGTCGTGCTAACGACCGGACCGCAAGTTAGGCCATCGCACTCACTCGCAGTACATCCAAACGCTTGTGAAAGCTCCATGACGTTCATCAGATGGCCGTCTGATGAACTAGCGGCAGGCATCTTCACGGATCGATGCTGTCAGCTCACTCTTGGCTCGTACCTTCTGAACCAAGGTAATCCCAGGATGACATCAAATTTGTCATCCAGATCCAGTACGATGAAGTCATCATCGTACTGTTCGCCCTCTAACGTGTAGCGGATTCCTACTACACGTTTCTCAACGGTAATCGATGCGCCTGTTGCAAGGCGCACCGTCATTCTCGTAAGGGGAATGTCGCGCTCAACGAACTTGAGCCTACGACCCTCTAGTGACTGGCGACGAACAAAGTTGTTCGACGCCCCACAGTCTACTAGGGCACGAAGCGACAAATCATTCGTCGCTTCCAACTTCAAGGTGATGAGCGAAACGTCATCACAGGTGCAGAGACACACAATGATTGTGTATCTGGAGCAACTTTCGTCAAGAGATTTGCAAATTCTCTTGAGGTTGCTGGATCAGTAGGGCGCTCCGCCCCTACTGACCCCGTCCATTTTTTGATGGTCCGTTTCGCTGTTGCGGCTTCGCAACAGCGCTGGACCCACGCCCATTGCCCTTTCTGGCAAAAGGTCGTCCATTTCGCTCAGTACTGTTTGGTACTGGGCGTGGAGCACTACACTCATATGCGTAGTGCCCTAACTTCTGACAGCGATTGCACCTCTGCAATCGCTTGTTGTTTGAAGAGCGAGGTCTCTCGCTCTCAACATAGCAGAGATCCATTGGTTCTGGACCTCCGATCTCTTGTCGTCTCGGTGGATGATAAGAGTTTGAGCTAGCATGAGCCTGTCTCATGCTAAAGTGTTCCTGTTCCGCGGCTGATATCGCCTCTTCCAGCGTATTCAGCTCAAGGCGGAACAGGTGGCTCCTGACGGGCCCTTCTGCGAGCCCTTGCATGAACACCGTAATCAACGTGTGTTCATGTACTGGGTTAGCAGTTATACTACTCGCAAGGAGTCGTATATGTTGTGCGTAAGCGTGCACATCACGCTTACCCTGCTTGAGTTTCAAATGTTCTGAACGAGCCCTGAACTCAGCCCGTGGCGGCTCAAACGCTTGTCTGAGCCGGGACTTGAAGTCATCTAGCGACCTAAACACATTTGGGTCGCTACCCTCGAGTCCCAGGGACCAAGTTTTGGCACGCCCTGCCAAGTGGGTCTGAGCAAATGTGAGTTTCATTTGCTCATCCTCGACGCGACGAGCCCTTAGGGCTCTGTCGAGTTCGACAAAACATAGTAACAGGGAGTCCTCCGGGACTCCACTGTGCTTGGAGATGTCAACCTTCATGACTTCGGGACGACGCGCATGTGCCGTCCCCCCACAGCAGCATGGAATTGATGCTGTCTCAACAGCTCCGTATGTTGAGCACCGAGTTCTCTCAACTGCTCGGCCTGTTGAGAGCCTTGCTGGTGAAGCAAGGCTACTTTCTCCCTCCCGATGACAAGTTCATGTTGAATGGACTTGGCGATATCGGCATGTTGTTGGTCTCTGTCTAGAGACTCCAACATGGTGCTGACGACGAGTTCGCCTACGGTAGAACTCATTCGTTCTACCGCACCCCATTCGATGTCACTCAAATGGGTAAACCCTTCACGCGTGGCGTGAAAGGTGTCTTCTTCATCCAACATGTTCATGTTAAATGCTGTGGTCCTTGGAAGGACTACAAAGTGCTACCAGGTGTAACGGGGCACACCCTTGCGTAATTTAACGCAAGGGATTTGGGTGCCCCGACGGACCTACACGTGGCAAGCGAGGAAGCGTAGGTAGGGTAAAAGTAGAACTGTTATATTAATATAATTAAGTCTTTAAACTACTGTCTCTTCGTTTGACTTAATTTAATTATACTAATATAACTGCATGTATGGTGACGTCTCGTCACCACTCATTGCGCGCGTCTTGCGGCGATTGGTGGGTTGATATCATCACGATATCAACCAATGAACAGACCCTTTGGTTGACCCTTCAATATCACCACTTTGGTGATATTGTTTTAAGAATATCCATCTTTATATTCTTTATTGTCACTTTCCTTAAAGTGACAATATCCATGTAACGGGCTGCCCCGTTACATTAATGCCATTAGGGGCTGCAGGGAGCTTGGGGCCGTTGGTAGCTTATCTTCGCACGTCAAGAATCTGTCTTACTTAAACACATACAATTCTCAGATATTGCGAGTCGTGACCTAGCCCATACATTCTGCTGCACGACCGCCAAATCACTAATTTCATTCGCTCTCTACAATTTTGACTGCCACCAGGTGGCCGACAGGATGGAATCTAGCATGTGGGGACGATCGCACACTCAACGCATCGGATCAGTTCATTGACCCAATGCTATCAGCGTATAACGTAACAAACAACAATGTTTTGGAAGCGTCATTATCAAGATAAGCACAAAAAGGCAAGTACAGCTTGCCAGCTGAACGAGTGCTAACTAACGTATACAGCTATACGATCAAACGCACACGAGCTTCCTACCAGAACGGGGCACCAAACTAGGCGCAGGCGGGCTCAGCCGCGTTGGACGCACGAGCGCACTCGCGTAGAAGGTAAGCTTCATAGCTCTTCTGCGCATAGCTCTTCTTCGGTTGGAAAATGGAGACTCCATTCTTCAGACCCAAGTCGATCGCCGATTCCTCGGCGGTCATGTGCTGTTTGTACAACTTGTCGGAGTTCTGCGCGTGGAAGTAACTCTGGGAAAGCATGTCGCCCCCAATGCCCGTCGACGGGTTGCGAGAGCCATCAGAGCTGTCCGAGCTGTCGTCCTTGTTCTTTTCGTTCGTGTTCCGCGTGCGCAGCAAAGTCGCGTTGTGCTTTCGGGTCGCCCGAGTGTTGCTCTCCGGCGTGCCCTTGGAAATGCCGTCCGTGTCGTACAGCTCAGCTTCGTACGCAGACAGGGTCTTCGCGTTGTCCGTCAACGGAGTCCGCAGGTCTTTCGTGTCCGGAATCGCGTCGTCCTCCCAGTGCTTGAGGAAGCGCTTCCCCTGGGATTCTCCACCGGAGGCGACGGCGTTGCCGTCGGTGTTTGCGACAGCCGACATGAGGTGGTCGGAATCTGGTGCAGCTACAACGGCCTGGCTACAGGCCGAGAGGCACACGAGTGCAGCCGAGAGGTAGAGTGATGGGCGCATTTTGGAGAAGGATGGAGGAAGACGCCGATGTTGGAGGCAAGAGGTAAATTGGGGTATGACGAAATCGTGAGATGAATATCAGTCGGATCAAGGGCCGGTGGCCGGAAGACAACGAGCTCGACGGAACAGGGCGGCGTGGCTCCGACTCAGGGGGAGGCGCTCTGAATGGTTCGACTGCTTTCCCACAGTCTCTGACGACGGTCTCGAAAACCATTTACATCCAGAGACTCGCGATCTTCCCTCGACCCACACGTGCCGAGGCGGGGCGGATGTCATGAGCAAGTGCCATGAAAAGATACGACGTCGTCGCTAGTGTATCGAGTGCAAAGCAGCTATTGCAGTGCATTGTAGATCTTGTTCGCGCGTAGCTTCTGCCGCCAGTAGGGGGTGCGTGCGTTATGAGCTGTGTGTTGTGACCGCTGCGTAGGACAGGCGCGAGCTTCTAGAAACTGCTCTGCAAGTCGTTCAGCTTGTATTCGCATCCACTGCAACCGGCAATGGACACGTTTGTGTGTGCGTGGCAACATCCAGACAGTTTTTAAAAAACGCACGTTGCCAACAATCACGTTTCAACCGGTTGGTTCTCGCCGTCTGCTCCGGCCCGACCACATTCGTACTACTGGTCTTGTCGATGCAGCCGTCCTGGCACATGTCAACAGAACAGGTGACGTCTCGAGCGACTGGTACAATCGGCGAGCTGGTTGTCTGGCGATGACGATCCTTTGCTTCGTACAGCCTTAGGCCAATATCACGACTGAGTGGTACATCACGACAGTGTGCCTCAGTCGCACTATTCATGACCGGATCTCTAACGCATGTCGTCGCACCCATCCTCGCCCGTTTCGTCTCGTCGTCTGCTCCTACCGACCAGTTTAGGATCGACGGTCTCGCCCACGTGTATCGTCGTGGATAGTGAGCACGGCTGCCGTACGTGTAGTGCACGATCTTTGTAAAGATGCAGTCCAGTCTTCCTCTCATACCACGCAAAAAAGAAAACTTAGCTCGCCTGGTATGCTGCTAACGCAGCGCAACGCGTTAAAGAGCAAGCACCGTTCTCTCCACAGCTGAGTCGCACGAGCATTAAAGTTGGTCTGCTGGCTCTTGCGCGCCTAGAGCCGGACATGTCGCTCGTTGGCTGCTCAGCCTTTCGATCTACGTCGACATCATCGCAGACCTGAGTCATGGGCAACTGCTCGTAGCATTACGATGCACGCTGCTTTTGTTATATTTTTCCTCGACACTCTACGTAAAGCTTTAGCGACTTTGAGGGTCGCTCGCGCTGATGATTGACGTCTTCACGGGCAGCAGATCTAGCTCTGACGAGCACCGGATCGGCCCCGCGGCTGTGGAGTGTGTCCTGCAGTAGTTCTTCCCCGCTTCCTCTCGATCGTTCACTATGTGTCCATCATCTAGTGGGACTTTCCCTGCAATACCACGTTCTTCTCACCAGAGTTGCAAAAGATCGCAGTACCCGACGCAGCCTTTTCCAAACGCTATCGGATTCACAATCTCTTCTAGTCTTGGGCATTTAGTCGGGCTAAGATGTCAGGACGAGGACAGGATAACTACACGTCTAGACATAGTGGCGATGGCCCATCGGGCATACAGTTATACCAATAAAGCGCCGGTACAAGCAATTGATCGTGGTCTTGCTTGTCTATCAAGGTCCCTAGTGTACATAGTATCATGAGCTTCTACGCGATTCATGCTCGACGTCGCGCCCTTTTTACGTTGCACCATTATCAGTGTCAAAAATTAGACGATGGCGTACGAGAACGACGTGCCTACGTTGCAAGCACTATAGCGTTCAACTGACTTTCCGTGTGTGTGTCGAGTCAATGCACTCTCGGTTGATCATGATCATCTAGAACATCCATGTCGTCTTCTAGTAAGGATTAGTTAGTCGACGATGGGAATAGGAACGAAAAGCCTACGACCCCTACCTCCACAAAGAAACTTACATCGGAATGCTGAGCACCTTTGATATCAAGCACACCCCTCTAGTAATCGTCGGGATGAGTGTTCCCTTGCCGACGAGGCGATCAATCACAGCAGCTGCTAAACGGCAACTGAAGCGTGAAAGGTCTACTTGACGACGAATATGGCATCCTCTTTCTGCGGTCTCACTCGCGCAGCGACATCGGATACACATAAGCTGATAGGACTCACATTTCACTTCGGAGTGCGGCGGTATAAGCAACATCTAGAGGATAAATTTGTTGTAGATCTGCAATCGCAGCACGAGTAGCTCGAACTCGGGCGCTCTCATGCTGCAGACTGTCTGAAATAGGCACAAATGTGACCTGCTCTTTCGCAGACATTTATCTGTGCGAACTGCTGGTCCATTTTGCCAGCATTTCAATTGACAGGAACCATTGCTATATTCAGTTGTTGGCCATCCACATGATCGGACGAGCGGATCATGATTTTCTCGTGGACATAACGTTGTGATTAATGCACTGCAGTCAAGGTCGGTCGGATACTAGTTTCCGTACTCTCTTTCCTGTACACCATCGCCCAATCTATTTTACTTGCATGAAGAAAGACTGTAAAGCGCAGCGAGTGGGTTGGCCGAATATACTGTAAACAGTGGCTGAGACACAAAAGTACCCTCTGTCACGAAAACGGATCCTCTAATTTTTGCTCAATTCCATGCGGATCTACCAAGCCCTGCTATTAATCCAAAGCATATCGGAGCAATGAATTCAGACATACTATAAGAATAGAGATGGCAAATCGGTCTTAAGGCAGTATGAATGGATCTGTGAAGGTGGAGAAATTCATGAACATTTGTTTCGCAGAAGCACAGCGGGCTGAGGATGGCGTAACATCTGAAGGCTTTGGTTAAGGATTCTGGCTGTGGATCACACTTGCAGGATAGCCTACTTGTGTACATTGGGTGCGCGTCCGGCCGCAAGCCATATAAACAGAGTGTGATCACGCAACTTCGGGGTTGACATCAGCCAACTACGGTGATCTATTCGTACAATTGCAGATGAAAAAACAGCGTTAGAGCGAAGGGCTTTATCAAACCAGTAGGTCCAACCATCTTTTTCGTACAATAACTCTGGCAGATTCGCAAATTATACTACTACAATCAGCAATCTCTAATGTCCGAAAGTAAGCCACCGAATTCCGTAAGTTGCACGGAAGAGGACCGTGATCAAGATTGCACTCGACTCTGCCATCCCAGGCGCAATGGAGGTATTTGTGCAGCCGATATGCGTATGACCGAAGCTCGTAACATGGGTGTAGAGCGGTAGATTCTTGGATAGGCTGAATCAATCTTTTGTGATGGGGTCGCCACAACTGCTGAGCGCCCGCAAAACTTATCATTGTAGCTTCGCAATTAAATTGTCAATGCTTTTCCAACCGCTTTTTGCAACAAGTCGTACGGATACAATGTTTACACGCGATGTGGTGCAGCGGCGTTCAAATTTGCTAATGCAACGCAATTTGAGACGTATGAAAGTGCCTGAGAACGTGCAAATGACCTGAACAGAGGGTCCTTTCGCTGCATCGGTTTTCCGTCGTAGCTCATCAATCTATCTGTGTTTCGTGCTTTCCAGCGTCCATGTGTCTCAATTCTAGCTGGATAAAAATAATAATCGTTTCGATCGTACGGACATGCAGCCATCATTGTGCTGATCTACCAGACTGGCGGATATTATTCCGTATGCCTGAAATTTGATCTTGCACGCGCTGCCGCACAGCCAAAATTGTTTTACATGATCGTACCGAATTGCCCAGCTCATGTGCATCTCGTTCTTCGAGCGTGTATCACTAGTTTGTCAGCACATGGGCCTAATGATATAGAAACGAAGTCTGTACGTAGTGCGCAGATGCATGCTTGGTCGAATAGCGTTTGGCGCTACCAATATACAACCATGTTGTAGCACAAAAGTTGCGACGATCCTTACCACGCTGAATTGTCATCAGCGTCCTTGAGGACTACATACATCGAGGAGTACACTCTGTCTTTGTTATGTCGCTAATGATTATTATCTCTTTCGTACACTGTATGAAAGGCAGCCGTCTAGAGTGTCGTTCTAACCTTCCATTCGTTAATTGTGTCTTCTCAGTTGGATAACGAAGCATGGTGCATTAGGCTTGCCAGGATTCAATTACCTTAGCTGCACTTCTGCGCATGAAAATCATTTCACCTTGTAAAAATGAGAGCAAAATGCCCTAAGCATGCATGAGTAGAAGATAACTAAGGCTAATTGGCACCATGCTATGCTATAAGGGGCGTGATGTGGCACAATAGTCATAAATTCGATATCAGGTGCGAGAATCCAACCATGATGAGGGAAAACGTAATTTACCACGTTGCAAGTCTAGTGGTAGATGCTTAGACTAGTTGTAGACCTATACAGAATTTATCGGCTACTCATCACAATCAGATTCGAAAAGTCTTCTCTGGTTTGCGCAAATGGTTATGTATTAAAGCTTTGGGATGCGAAAAATGTCAAGGTCTGCAGGCGTCGTGATGGTTGTTTAGAAAATGTCAGTGGTCTAATTCTATTAGCGAATTGTGAATGAGAGGGTTCCACACCAAAGTTTAGCGTACAAATTTTATTCTAATGGTGAAGGAGCCGTCGCTTTGCAAGCATTGGCCATCATGTCGCTTTGCAAGCATTAGCCATCATGTCGCTCGTTTGAAGACCGATCACGTCTTTAATATTCGAATCATGTTCTATTTCTCGAATGAGTCCCATTGGTCAATCCCTTTCTCCGCTTGTATGTATACCTCTACGTGTGTCCTTCGTTTTCTTAATGGTTTCTGTACACACGCCAATTATCGTCCTATTTGTTTGAAGGGGTAAATTTTCTAAGCATTGATAGCTGTGCGCGGAATTATCATCTTGTAACCTTCACTTCAGCTCAAAAGAGAGACGGTTGCGAGAAACGAAACTGCAAAATCTACTGTAGGGTCGCTCGAAAAGGCATTGCTAGCACGTAATAGCACCATATTGCAAGAGCCTGACCGGCACATTTCG